GAACCCTGCATGTAGCCAAGTTGTTGTTCAACAGCCTGCCATGCCCTGCTGATCTTGGGACTTCTTCTGCACTTGAATTAGTGGCCTACCATGTTGTTTGGTAACACTGGGACTGTGCCTTTTCCCTTGTCAACCTTGGGTTTGTCAGCCTCAGCAGCCAGCGGCTGAGTGAAGAGAAGCCTCCAGCTTCAGTGTGCCAGGAGCAGGAGGCAGGGCTGACACCCAAGGTTGAGGGGTTTTTGCCCAGCCCCTAGAGCCTGGCACTTTGAACTCGGACTTAAAAGCCTCCAAAACTGTAAGAGAATAAACTCCTGTTTGTTCAAGCCATCCCATTTGTGGTATATCCCTGTCAGAGAGGCACTAGGTAACCAACACACATGGAAAAGACAGAGACACCAGATAAGCAAAGCACTACTAACAAAGAAGAACAGAGAAGGAGACCTCATACTGCCTGATCTCAAAACCTAACATACAGCCATGGAAGTCAAAACAGACCAGTACTGGACAATGACAGACATGGAGACCAGTGGAAAAGAACTAAGAATCCAGAAGTAAATCCGTCCACTTATGGTCAGCTGACCTTTGACAAAGTGCTGAAACTCATTAAATGGGGAAGAAGTGGTCTCTTTAATAAATGGTGCTGGTAGATGTTACACAGTGGGGAATGTAACCAGTGCCATAAAACAAAATGTGTATGAACTCTTGAATGTAACACAAATCTGCTTTGTAAAATTTCACCCATATCACAATAAAAAGTAAAAAAAAAAAAAAATTATATGAAATCAAAATTGCATTGCTATTTATGAAGTACACAGTGTATTACAGAGATGGGAAAGATCCACATACATTCTGCCACTGAATTAAGAATGTGCTGTTACTCCCATTCAAGTACAGGAAGTTCAGAGAGTTTTACAGGTTTTTAAAGTATATTTTGTTGTTCAAGGATGAGAAAGTTCCCAATATATTCTTTGAATAATAAAACGATATGTACTTTCTCCAATTCAATTACATGAAATCAAAATTGTATACTAGTATATAAGTATACTCTGAGTTATAGAGATGAGAAAGATCCACATATATTCTGTGAATGAGTTAACATGTAGTAACTCCCATTCAGGTACATGAAGTTAAAAGAGTCTTACACGTTATTGATGTACGCTTTTTCTTTTTATAAAGATGGAAATATTCCCAATACATTGTGTGAATAAGAAAATAGTATGTGCTTTTCAAAGATGAGAAAGTTTCCAATATCATTGTGTGAATGAGAAAAAAATGTGCATTTTCTCTAATTGAAACACATGAAATCAAAATTGTATACTAGCTATGGAAGTATACTTTGTGTTACAGCAACGTGGGAAAATTCACATACTATTCTGCCATTTATTTAACAATGTGCAGTTACTCCTATTCAGGCACATGAAGTCAAAAGAACTTTACACATTATGGCAGTACAGTTTGTTTTTCAAGGATGAGAAACTTCCCAATACATTCTTTGAATAAGAAAACGTGTACTTTCTCCAATTCAAACACCTGAAATTAAAATTGTATACTAGTATTAAAAAAAAAATCACTGCTGTAGAGTCGGATCTGACTCATAGCAACCCCTCCTTGGGTTTCCAAGGTGATATCACTACAAATGCCTTACTAGTATAGGAATGAAAATAAATGGTGCTGGCAAAACTGGATGTCCATTTGCATAAAAATGAAATAGGACCCATATTTCACATCAGATACTTGGATCAAAGACCTGAATGTAAAACCTAAAATTATGAAGAGTATCAAAGAAAAAATAGGGACAAACTCAGGGGCCCCAATACATGGTAAAAATTTACTATTGTACATAACTAAAAACACACAAATACCAGAAGCAAAAGAGATGACTGGAACCTCCTAAAAATTAGACACTTATGTGCATCAAAAGATTTCACCAAAAAGAGTCAAAAGAACTCACAGACTGGGAAAAAATTTTGGCAACAACATATCGTACAAAGGGCTAATCTCTAAAATTTATAGAAAACTTCAACACCTTAACAACAAAAGGACAAACAATGCAATTAAAAAATGATTAGAGGACAAGAAGAGACATTTCACCAAAGAAGACATTCAGGTGGCTAACAAACACATGAAGAAATGCTGATGATCATTAGCCATTAGAGAGGCGCAAATCAAAACAACGAGATTTCTCATCGCAGAATTAATAACAAAGTTCAAAAAACCAGAAAATAATAAATGCTGGTGAGGATGTGGAGAGACTGGAACCCTTGTACACTGTTAATGGGACTGTAAAATGGTGCAACCACTATGGAAAATGGTATGGCACTTCGTTAAAAAGTTGGAAATAGAAATACCGTATGATCCAGCAATCTCAGTACTAGATATATATCTTAGAGAAAAAAGAGCTATGACAAGAACAGATACATACATACTGATGCTCATCACAGCATTATTCGCAACAGCAAATAGATGGAAACAACCTAAGTGTCCATCAACAGACGAATGGATAAACAAAGGTACATACACACAATGGAATACCACACAATGTTAAA